AACACGTGGACAGACTGGAGCTGCTGTGTCTGGCAGCAGCAGCAGGAAGAGGGAGGGTTTCACTCTGATTCCAGGAAGAGCAGCTCTGAAACACCCTCTGGCGGCGTTCCAGTGTCCACACGACAAACTGGATCGTCGGCCACAGAGTGATTCAGTCCTTCCCGACACGCTGGATGTCAGCGGGACACGCAGGATGTGGGCTACACCTGCAGCCAGCATGCTTGGATGTGCAGTAGAAAACATTTCACACTCTAGTGCAGGTCTTTGACATTTCAGTTATTAGTGTGCAGATTGCAGTAATACACACTTTAATAAATGAATGTGGAGCTTGTTGACACTGTAGTGCATTCATGTCCAGGTCTGTGACGTGTTGGTGTTTCTGTCCAGATGTTTTACTCTTCAGTAGTTAGTATCCAGATTATTGACACCTCAGTGTGATTTTATCCAGCTTTTATGGCACTTTATTACCCTAGTATCCTAATATTTAAAGGTTTCATACACTTCAGTGCAACGATGATGAGCAGAAGTTGTTCTAAACGTGATGATCAGGTGGAGTGAACCTCAGGTGATTTACTGGCTAACAGCTGCTGTTCTGGTCGGGACTAAACGAACGGTGTAGTTGTACAAACTTCGTAGCACCAGTAACCACTGGTCAAGCTGAACGTATTCACCCTAGACTCTGGTTTTTCAGGTGACTTCACACCTTTGTCCTCCACAGGTGAACTTGTTAACGCCAGAGCGAGCGTGGCGGCGTTCCACTGACGTTGTGATGATTGGTGTTTGTTCTAATAATATGAGCCGACGGGCGTCACGGTTGTGTATTTCTGGATGCAGAGACTGGACGGACTGTTACTTTGGCCTATTTAACTGCCCCCTGGGGGGTCTGAAGTGAGCCGGGTTTCTGTTTTTCAGCAGAGAGCCTGACGCCTGAAGCCAGCACGGTTTGTTGTGTGTTTGGCTGTTTGGTGCTTTCCTCACGTCACCTGATCCTCTGTTCCTGCTCTCTGTCCAGGCTCAACGTGATCTTCAGTAAATTCGATGAAGTCCAGAGGTCGGGGAACATGGTCCTGTCACCTGTGTCAGGTAAGAGGTTTGATCTTCTTTGAGCTCCACTGTGGTTTTGCTTATCGGACACGGGGTGGTTCTGAAGCCAGTCACGGTTCTGGCTGACTGCGGGACCAACCTGTTGCCATGGCAGGGTTGTTGTTGTTGATTTCACATTTTGTACTGTTTGTTGTTGGACGTGGCCTGAAGACACCAACATGTGACGCTGCTGACATCCAAACTGCTCCAGACTGAACTCCATGTCGAGACGGGGGGGTTGCCCTCTCACTGGGAGTCGTGCAGGTGAATCAAGCAGGTGAACGTCTCACTGGGGGAGCAAAGGTCTCCAGATACAGGCCCTCTGGGTTCATTCATCCCTGCTTCCCCCTGCTAGCAGAAACCGGGTCAGGGATCTCAGTCTGAGCCGGTGTTTGAAACCCCCACTAAACGTCCTCGGCCTGGAGGCTAGCGCTAGCTACGGATAGCACAACGGGTCATTTCAGTCCTCTGACCACCGTGATGGCCACATGGTCTCAGCGAGGGATCGGCCCGTGTGCTGATTTTCTCAGACCGATAAGCAATATTAGGAACTGATATAAAACAAATAAGTAGCATCTTTTTTTGGTGAATTGGCATATTTTTGTTGGGCTTTTGCTTTTTTTTTGGTAATTTAGTACGTTTTTATGGTGAGTTTGCACATTTTTGTGGTGATTTTGTGTGTTTTTGTAGGGTTTTTGCTTTTTTATTTGGAATTTTCTATTTCTTTTTGTGGTGAATTTGCATATTTTTGTAGTTTTTAAAAAAAAATAAACTTTTTTGGTAATTTAATACGTTTATATGGTCAATTTGCTTATTTTTGGTGCTTTTGTGTGTTTTTTGTGCGGGGTTTTTGCTTTTGTATTGGTTATTAAGTTCATTTTTATGGTGAATTTGCAGATTTTTGTTGTTTTTTTGCTTTTTATTGGTACTTTATTACGTTTTTATGGTGAATTTGTGTAGTTTTGTGGTGATTTTGTGTGTTAGCAGGGAACCAGTCATTCATAACTAGATTACCTCTTTAATAAGACTTAATGAATTCATCAGTGTTTGTGTTGTGTTCTCAAGAGCTGCTGAAACGTTTGCCTTTCCGTCCTAATTACGTCCGACGTTCGCTGATTCTACGATGTGATTAAAAAACTGCATTTGCTTTTGAAAGAAAGTACGAGCTGCCCCTGTTGGTCAGTCGCAGCGTTTGAGCAGCGGAGCCCTTGTGTTCGCCGTCTTTCAGTCCAAACGCAACCTGAGCCGCCTTCTTTGTGCTCTCTGCTGAAAGCCAAGTGGAAAGCTGAGCCTGCAGAACCGGGGCCGCTCACACCGGCTGTTGTGGAGGCATTCTGACATGTTTATGCGTTTTAAGTCAGTTTGCGACGGTGGAAGCACCAGTTCACACCGTGAAGCAGAGTCTCAGTCCACTGACGTCGACATTGTGGGCAAACATGGGAGGAGAGCTGCTGAGCGTTCATCAGACCGACCTGACACTGAAATAAACCAAGTTTCTAATCATCTGGACATATTCTGGGTCATTTATGGCAGAACTATTAAAAGCTTCCCGGGAACATCGTCCTTCTTTTTATGTTTTAGACCTTTTTTTCTGCCACATAGAGGAGAAAACACGGAGGATTTCTAAGTATTCCAATTTATTCAGCAAAACATCAAAACTTGTTTTTACTTTAATCGATTTGGACAAACTGTCGCCAAGTTTTGTGTGATTTGGGACGATTTCTGAGGCATATTTATGCATGTTAGACTCGTTTTGGGCAGTTTTTTCTCTGTTAAGGACAAATTATTGTCATGTCGGACTGTTTGTTGGTTTTTCTTTTGCTGTTTTAGACAAACTTCAAAACAACCGATCAGTTGTTGGTGTTGTTTTAAACTAAGTCCTTGGTTTCTGTGGAGAGTACAGGAGGTCTGCGTTAACAGACTGCTCAGTGGATTCGTCCCTCGGTGTGATCCGGGCCTGGAATCCGGCCTGAGCGACACCAAACCGGTGCGTTTTGAACTTGTTGCCTCACCGCTGTGGTCACAAGGCTCAGCTTTCATCTGGGACAGGACCACCGTCCTTCAGGGAACAGCAGGATCATCTTCACTCCAGGAAAACTGTGGTATCTGGGCTGCTTCTGGTTCTAACGTGTAAAAGGACAGAAAAACAGACAGCTATATATAATATATATATATATATAAGACCTATATATAATAATATTTTGTGGTGATTTTGTGTGTTTTTGTCGGGTTTTTGCTTTTGTATTGGTTATTTTCTGTTTCTTTTTATGGTGAATTTGCATATTTTTGTAGGTTTTTGCTTTTTTTTGGTAATTTAGTACGTTTTTATGGTGATTTTACATCGTTTTATTTAATTTTTGTGTCTTTTCTGGTAATGTAGTCTGTTGTTGTGGTGATTTTCCTTCTTTTTGTGGGATTTTTGTATCAGCTTGTCATAATTTTGCATGTTTTTGTGGTGATTTTTTCTGTCTTTTGGTAATGTAGTCTGTTTTTGTGGTGATTTGACATCTTTTTTTTCTTTTTGCAACCTTTCCCTGGCATCAGTCTGACCTGGTTTATGATAGAGAGTGGAAAAGGAAACCTAAGATAGGAAGGAAGAGAAAGAGAGACGCTCCAAAATGAAAGCGCGAACCAAAGATGTGAAGGAATGCGTCTGCACAAAAGCTGCCCAGGGCTTTTATTTTGTAGGAGCAGTGTCAGCTGTAGTCACGAGACCGGCTTGGAGGGGAAGGGAGGAGGCAGCAGCAGCAGCATCAGCTCCGGGTTTCAGTGTTTCTCCTCCGGTGGGTGGAAAGTGTCGCCTCGCAGAGCTGCAAAGGTAAATTCAAGTTTTTCATTTCGTCTCCTGCTGTGAGCGAGCCTTCAGCTGCGCGTCTTCATCTTTTTATGATCCCGTGGCTCTTTGCACGCGTAATCCTGGATAATTGCAGCAGGGTCATAATTAGGAACTGGATGCCACAAGTAACTGAAGCCCGGTGATGCGTGTAATCCGGCTCTGTTCTCGTCTGGAGCCTCCTCGCATGAAATATGTCAGTGATCCCAGTTATCTTACAGGAAATTACTGCTGGAGTCTAAGCAACAGAGCTGCTTTCCTGCTGCGCCGTCGTCGCTGTCGGTGTTCAGGTCATGAGCAGATTAATGTCAGGCATGTCCATACATTAATCATAACAATAATCATAATAATAACTGCCTTTTCACTTTGCTGGACAGAAAGTTCCACAATAACTGAATCAGTGTAGTTCAGGAGATGCAACAATGAACAAAAGGCATATTTTTAGCTGTAATTGTGACCACGGGAGCAGTTCTGGTGCGTTTTCATAACTCTAAGTGATTAATTGATTTTCTCCAGCGACAGGAAGCTCACATCGCTGCTTTGAAGTCACGCAGCTGCATCTTGCACCATCTCAACATAATCTGGTGCTTTGTCTCTGCCACATTCCACAAATTAAGGCACGAATAACGTCCTGCGGGTCATGAAATAACCTCCCTGCTCACTAAGATGCACAAACTGTCGCTGATTGTGTGTTTTAGTGGTGGGTTTGCATCTCTGTGGAGGGTTCTTGTAACTCTTTTGGCCATTTGGTTTGTTTTTGTGGAAGTCTTCATGTGTTTGTTGTGATTTTGCATCTTTTTTTTTGGCAATGTGATGTATTTTT